ATAAACACACTGAATAAATCCAATTTCTTGTATTTATGTGCATTACAAGTTCGCGCATGCGCACAACGCCCTCACCAGCGCCAAAACTATTCTAAGTCCAAAGTGAACCGAATCAGAAACAATATAAAGAGAATGAATTTCGAGTGGTAATTACTTTTGAAGGCACGGCGGACATGGCACATTTATGGCGGTCATCAGTTTTCGTTGAATTAAACCCGGAGAAATGATTTATTGACATTTCAAAATCCCCCATTTGCCACCACAGTTTTGAACTTTTCGCGACGCGGACAGATATTATAAATCGAGTTTTCTCTAAAATTTGCTATCAAAGTTGAAAAAAACCTCTATTACGGCGTCATTACTGGGTAAAACCCTATCGTTTGGTATACTGCACTTGTCTGTATGTATTCCAGTTTCCTCCAGCGAAATGGCTCCTAACTTACACAGCACCGAGCACAATACTCGTTCTTCCACCTCCACGTAGTGATGTTTGGAGGGAGGGAGGGAGGTAAAGAACGAGTAAAAAGTATATCAGTTGCACACCATTTAGTTCCTAGATTCGTGTGAGTCCAAGTGTGCAGAATTTAAACGTTTACAAAACGTTTAAAATGTGCACACCACCCAAGTGCGCAACTTGAGTTAAACACCATCTAATGTGAAACACCATAACTTGCACACGTTGGTGTTTAAATTATGCACGGGTGATTCCACGATAGAGTGCAAAATCGTGTCTCCGAGGCTAAATTCGATATTTCTGGGTGAAATGTTCGGAACTTTACATGTCTAAGGCTGTATTTACCTCCCACCTATATAATCCCGATCGAAAACGACAGGTTTTTTATTCAAATTTAAAAGAAAATTCAATTAAAGTAAGCTAAATGTCAACTCCTTCACGGTCTCCGCCCCAAGCTGGCTGCTTTTTTTTTCTTCCTTGGTTTTGTTTTGATGGTATTTAATACTTACAACGGTTGGAATCAATAATTAAATCGACGAGCTACAAGATGTGTACATCGTTATTGTGTTTCATTCTCCAGTTTACCTAAAAACAACTAATAAAACAGTGTCTCCGAATGTAGACCTCAGCGTGACGGAGTTGACAATAGGTGTAGATTTATCAGGTAAAGGGGTTATGTAGAACAAAACTCATGAAAATAACATGAAATTCGATCAATTTGAGGAACGAATTGGCCCAGATCGAGAGTTTGCGTCATCTCATGTTCTTCTCAACACACAAAATATGTTCAGTTTCGGGGCGTATGTTTTTGTGGGCAACCTCTTCTAACAAAGATTTTTTCAATACCTAGCCGTATACAAGACGTGTTTAGGCTAACAATGATGTAGAATCATTTATTCTATTTAAAGAACATCCGTGTTACCGATTTTCTGCCCTCTTTTATGTTATTAAAGTGATTTATCTGGTGTATGGTGTGACGGAGTTGACGTCAACTCCGTCACGCTCGTCGAAAGTTTGATGAAATTGCACATTAAAACGTTATTTTGGTCCAGATAATTAAAGGAAGTAGTATTGCTACCTTTTTATACATTCTCTCTCTATTTTCCTATTAAAATATTGCCTATACATCGTATAATGTGTGAACGAGAGTGCCGTCCTCTAACCTCAAAACCGAGTCACCCTGACCAGGTTACAAACCAAACTAGCAATACATATAAAAGTAAAATTCGTTACCGCTGGTTTCTATTGCTTCTTGTTCCATAGCGCCACGTCTAGTCAGTTGGCCGATGACCCAAAAGTGATATTT